GTGGTCCTCTGCCCTTCACCCCACCCACATCCTTGTCACCCCAACTTCCCCACACTTTGGAGTCACTGAAGAGGGTAACCTAGTGCTTTCTTTATGCATTCAGATGCTGAAGACCTGCCTCCTCCCACACCTCCAGGTATGTCCACATTTTTTCCTGGTCCAGGCAACTCTTTAATAGTAATGATGATGATGATGACGATGATAACAACTACTTACAAATGCTAAGAAGCAGGCATTGCTTGAGCCCTTCGCATGTTTAACTCATTTAACTCTGACAACAACCCCTTGAGGTAGATACTTAGGTTATTCCCATTTTCCAGATAGGTAAATTGAGACATAGAAAGTTAGCAACATATCCAGGGCTAGCCAGTCTGTCGGTGCTCTTGGCTACCACACTACACTGCCTTCCAATCTCATTTACCACACCCGTTCTCTGGCCCTAGCTACGCAAAGACCAGGTGAAAGCAGAGCAAAGATGGAGAGGCATTTTGCCCAGATTATTGCTAATCCTCAGGACAATCCTACCAAAAAAAAAAAAAAAAATACTATACTACGTATTTTACAGAAGAGAAATTTGAGACTCAGAAGGGTTAAGTAACCTTCCCCAGACCACTCAGCAAGTAAATTGTGGGACCAAGGCTGGACACTAATCGGTGTAGCTCCAAAGCACATGCTGTTTGGGAGCTTATGATTTTTGCCAGTTTTCAAAGAGCTGATAATTTAATGATTGAATGACATTTATCAGTAGTAAAAACCAAAGGTTAGAAAAATCCAACCAACATATGCAGTGTAAATGTTGCTGAAATGATGCTGGAGGTGAATGAAAAGGCATTTTGTTTCATTGTAATGAAAATTCCGAGGGCCTGCTCCACGGCAGGCCTGATGCTAGCAATCCTGCATAGATTAATGTATGTAATCCTCATGGTTGAGCATTAGGGAGGGCAAGCAGCATGCTCAGGATAACTCAATTAAAAAGCAGCAGAACTGGAGTTTACAAACCCCATCTCTGGCCCTTTGAATGCACCTGGCTGTCCCCACACAGCCTCAGAGAACGCACACAAGTCACCCATTGGCAGAAGCATCTCTCTTGAGTGTTTGCCTAGAGAAGGATTTGATGTGTCTGGGTGTTCTGGAGGAAA